GTTATGAGAACATTTGCCGCGACCTAACAAATGTTCTGGGAACTTTCACAGAACCAATTTTGGTTTGCTGGGTAGCTACACACACTCAACCCGGTGACCATATCTCTCAAGCTATGTATGTTTGGGTACCGGGCGCGCGCAATCTCTGTACAGGGCAGACTGGCAAAAAAGCGCAACCGGGCATGCACGTGGTCCTTACAGGGATGATCAACAGGCGCAACCAACAGACGTGTCACACCTATTCCCGCTCTCCCGCTCCGGCAGTCGACATTGCCGGTCTACTAACCACCGTGGGCTCCAAACAACAATGACAAAGACAATATAATTTTTGGGGAAATCATACCACCACCCAAAATGGGCAATTTGGAGACTGGCAGGGCAAAGGGGCATGTGCTCTGCACAGGTAGAGTGCTATCTGATGCACATGCCTGATGCAAACACATACACAGCTGTATTTTCCTTTCATTCTCTGTTTTGCAGAGTATTGTACTTTTCACCCTGCTGGTTGTCATCATGCTGTTCACCTTCCTGAACAGGACAGAGAAGGGGGACATTAAGGATGCCTCTCTGGGTAGGTAAAGGGCAGTGGAGGCTGGTTGAAGGAGCTATAGGAGGACAGGCTCATTGTAATGGCTGGAATGGGATAAATGGAACGGTATCAAACAGATAAAACATATGGAAACCACATGTTTGACTCCGTTCCATTGATTCCATTCCAGCCATAACAATGAGCCTGTCCTCCCATAGCTCCTCACACCAGCCTCCACTGGTACAGGGTCACGCTGGGCAACCCCTCCTTTCTACAAAGTAGCTGTAGGCAAACTCAATGGGCAAGATAACAGTTTAATCAAATAATAGGCAACTCTGTGGTTGAGGGTAAGGGTTGAACCGGGATGTGGATGTGAAGCTAGGGTTAGGGTTGTGGTTGAGGCTAGGTTAAGGGTTGAACCAGGATGTGGATGTGAAGCTAGGGTTAGGGTTGTGGTTGAGGCTAGGTTAAGGATTGAACCGGGATGTGGATGTGAAGCTAGGGTTAGGGTTGAGGTTAGGGTTTTGGTTGAGGCTAGGGTTAGGGTTGAACCAAGATGTGGACATATTTGTCAAAGGAATGAGACTCGTGTCATGTCTCAGTTGAATTCTTTTAATTGGTTTGAATTACATTCTACCTCCTTTAACTCAAATTAAATTCAAATTTTGCTTCCTGTATTCAGTATTCAGAATTGATCTTAAACCTGGTATGAGACGGACATCTTTCGTATTATGTAGTATGAAGTGACAATAAGTCCCTCAGAAAGACAGTTTTGTATTTTATATTTTATAGTCAAAACATGTTCATGGGCTATCAGTAAGTAGATATGAGCTTTTCATGTAAAAGCAAGCTTATCTTAGTTCTTCAAAATGTCAATAATTTGTGAAACGGTTTATTGCCTTGAAAGTTGTCTATAGGAGGTGAGAGGCTGCAAGCTACAAAGACTTTATGGTCTCAACCCTAACCGTCAACCACAACCCTAACCCTAGCTACGTGTCCACAGCCCTTACCCTAGCCTCAACCCCAACCCTAACTCTAACCCTAACCCTAGCTTCATGTCCACATTCTGGTTAAATCCTAACCCTAGCCTCAACCACAACCCTAACCCCCCTTTAATTGGAAAAGGGTGCCAAAATGTACCAAGTAGCCCATTCTCCTCACTCAATCTGTGCTGTCTACAGTCGTGGTCAAAAGTTTTGAGAATGACACAAATACTAATTTTCACAAAGTCTGCTGCCTCAGTTTTGATGATGGCAATTTGCATATACTCCAGAATGTCATGAAGAGTGATCAGATGAATTGCAATTAATTGCAAAGTCCCTCTTTGCCATGAAAATTAACTTAATTCCCCAAAAAACATTTCCACTGCATTTCAGCCCTGCCACAAAAGGACCAGCTGCCATCATGTCAGTGATTCTCTCGTTAACACAGGTGAGAGTGTTGACAAGGACAGGGCTGGAGATCACTCTGTCATGCTGATTGAGTTAGAATAACAGACTGGAAGCTTTACAAGGAGGGTGGTGCTTGAAATCATTGTTCTTCCTCTGTTAACCATGGTTACCTGCAAGGAAACACGTGCCGTCATCATTGCTTTGCACAAAAAGGCCTTCACAGGCAAGGATATTGCTGCTAGTAAGATTACATCTAAATCAACCATTTATCGGATCATCAAGAACTTCAAGGAGAGAGGTTCAATTGTTGTGAAGAAGGCGTCAGGGCGCCCAAGAAAGTCCAGCAAGCGCCAGGACCGTCTCCTAAAGTTGATTCAGCTGGGGGATCGGGGCACCACCAGTGCAGAGCTTGCTCAGGAATGGCAGCAGGCAGGTGTGAGTGCATCTGCACGCACAGTGAGGCAAATACTTTTGGAGGATGGCCTGATGTCAAGAAGGGCAGCAAAGAAGCCACTTCTCTCCAGGAAAAACATTAGGGACAGACTGATATTCTGCAAAAGGTGCAGGGATTGGACTGCTGAGGACTGGGGTAAAGTCATTTTCTCGGATGAATCCCCTTTCCGATTGTTTGGGGCATCCGGAAAACACCTTGTCCGGAGAAGACAAGGTGAGCGCTACCATCAGTCCTGTGTCATGCCAACAGGAAAGCATCCTGAGACCATTCATGTGTGGGGTTGCTTCTCAGCCAAGGGAGTGGGCTCACTCACAATTTTGCCTAAGAACACAGCCATGAATAAAGAATGATACCAACACATCCTCCGAGAGCAACTTCTCCCAACCATCCAAGAAAAGTTGGGTGATGACCAATGCCTTTTCCAGCATGATGGAGCACCTTGCCATAAGGAATGGGGGAACAAAACATCGACATTTTGGGTCCATGGCCAGGAAACTCCCCAGACCTTAATCCCATTGAGAACTTGTGGTCGATCCTCAAGAGGCGGGTGGACAAACAAAACCCCACAAATTCTGACAAACTCCAAGCATTGATTATGCAAGAATGGGCTGCCATCAGTCAGGAATGTGCCCAGAAGTTGAATTGACAGCATGCAAGGGCAGATTGCAGAGGTCTTGAAAGAAGGGTCAACACTGCAAATATTGACTCTTTGCATAAACGTAATGTAATTGTCAATAAAAGCCTTTGACACTTATGGAATGCTTATAATTATACTTCAGTATACCATAGTAACATCTGACAAAAATATCTCATAACACTGAAGCAGCGAACTTTGTGAAGACCAATACTTGTGTCATTCTCAATACTTTTGACCATGACTGTATTCCAAGTGAAAGTAAAGACATGGTTGCATTTCTAGGCTGTCATGCTAAATAATATCAATGTTTCTTATCTTTGAAAGACCAATTGTATAGAAGTGAAAGGATCACCACGTTTACTTTGGATCACAAATGGACCATGTTCTACAAATCCAAGAGTAATCCAAATTGGATGAATGAATCATATGGAATCAGGATCACTGAAGCAGCCCTAATCAGATGGCTGCTTTTTTAATGCAGTTACAGATGTGTTATGTTGTCCACAATACTGTGTCAATAAAGTTTGTTACCAGGGATTGTATGGATTCAGACGACTTTCTTTACATTGTCAAACGTCAATACAGTTTTCCACATTGTTTGCTGAGCAGAGAACTTCACCCATGCTATCTCTGAAGCCATACAGTGGTTTATGTTTTAACTGTACAGCGTCATGGAAATAGAATTACTAGAACAGGAATTCCCGTTCTAGTGATTCTATGTCTATGCACAGTATGTTACACAGGTGGAACATTGTGTCCTATGTAAGAGATGATTCATGGAAAGCAGAACACACTGACCCCTTGTCTTAACAAGTCATTAGGACCATTCAGTTGGCAAGTAGCTTTTACACTTTACTCCATACATACAACGTGTCTGTTGTACATCTGATTAGATTTGACTACTGTGTATATATGGACTGACTAAAGTTAAAGTGTCAAAGACTGACATTTTTGCTTATCTTTATGTGATAAAACAATAGTAATGTAAAACTTTGCGTATGTTTCCATTCCCCACTCTAAGCTTAGGACGAAATTAGCAAATTATTATTAATGAGTTAAAGCACAATTGTTATAGAGATTTGGGTAATTTCTCTCTAGGATTCTGTGAATATAGCCTACAGGCCTACTGTTGTTATTTCCCCACACCTCTTCATCGTCATTGGAATTGACCTTTGATCCCACTCTGAATCACTAAACCAGTGAAGTCATTCGGAACACACGAGTGTTGAGACAAGCTTGCAAAGTGTGAAGTGAATCAGAGGAAAGTCCCCACTGTTGGGAACCTCAACAAACCTTTCTGTTTTTTTTGTTATTGCCTTCAACAATATCTAAATGTGTTTGGATTTGGATATTTTCTAAGGACGTCTGTTTGCAGCTTTCAACAGAGAAATCCACTCAGGAGGAACCGGCATATTTGATGGAGTCCCATACTATAACATTAGCTGTACATTGAAGGTATGTAGCTATTTCTGATGTCTACTTTAAAGAATGTGAGTTTAAATAATATAAGAGAGGAATTCACGATATTCACTCCTGGCAAACATTCCCAGTATATTATGAGGTAGTATGTTTTTACTCAGCACCATCTATCCACGGATAGGACAGAAACATGTGCTTGCTGTCTTTCTTGTATTTGAAGGATACTAAAGATCCAATTGTCAGCTCTTAGCTAGCATCTAACACAATGATATCTTCCCTGAAACATCAGATGAATGTGTAAATATTAGAATGCTGTTTGTGCCTCCCAGGTGGTCCGTTAAAGCTGCCTGGGTGACCAACCTGAGCCTCTCAAATTACCCCTCCATCCTCATACAGTAGCCAGACAGTAGGTGAGCTTCTCTCTTTATCTCTTTCTATATTTTTGTTATTTAAAAGCAGACTACACATATGAAAGTTCCCTACAGAGAAAATCTAAGAATTATATTCTGTTCCGTTCTATTCTATTCTATTCTATTCTAATATATTCTATTCACTTCCACTCTTTCCTAGCTTCTCTGATCTAGCTGCCATGAACGGTGTGATAGAAGGTGTATATGAGCCGGTGCAGCACCATTGGTTCCACTGCGAGCAGCAGGTGGACTGTAAAGACTCCTGGCTCCCTTTCAGCAGAGAGGACTCACTAAGGCTGGAAGAGGCACACAAACATGGCATGAGACAATTCATCAAACCTTTACAAATAATACAAATTGTTATTGTATTGTTACCGCTCTGTACTATAACACCATATTATGTGTGATTTATTACCCTGAAACAAGAATATGGTTACACTGAAATTAAGGAGTATCTAGGCAAGTAATGTTTTCATTGTGAGTAACTATAACTTGTTACCATACTATGTAATTACAGCTTTATTTCGTGCTGTAATGTAGAGTGTTACGGTTTTGTTAATTTAGGGCTGTGCTGTTCAATAAGACATGGGAGGTAATGAGGTGGTCCCTGATGATAACAGCAATGATAAAGATGATTATAACCATATCATCATAATTGTGGGTTTGCTCCTAACAGGGGAGACCCGTGGGGCGGAGGAGGTGGTGGTATCCACAGAGGGTAGGCGGTTCGATGTGAGGCTGAAGGAGAGGAGGCGCTACGCGGTGTACTGGGAGCAGCCCCCCTCGGAGGTGAGGCGCAGCTCCTGGTTCCACAAAGGAGACAAGGACAACTCCTACACCCCTTACCCAGAGAACACCAGCCTCGTCCTGGAGGTAGGACACAGTCTGAAATGACATCCTGTTCCCTACAGTGCATTCGGAAAGTATTTAGACCCCTAGACTTTTTCCAAATTTTGTTATGTTACAGCCTTATTATAAAATTGATTAAATAAAGGTTTTTCTTCATCAATCTACACACAATACCCCATAGTGACAAAGCGAAAACAGGTTTTTAGAAATGTTTGAAAATTTATTAAAATAAAAACACAGAAATACCTTATTTACATAAGTATTCAGACCCTTTGCTATGAGACTTGAAATTGACCTCAGGTGCATGCTGTTTCCATTGATCATCCTTAAGATGTTTCTACAACGTGATTGGGTCCGCCTGTGGTAAATTCAATTGATTGGACATGATTTGGAAAGGCATACACCTGTCTATATAAGGTCCCACAGTTGACATATTGTAAAGTGGTTATCCCACTGGCTATAAGGTGAATGCACCAATTTGTAAGTCGCTCTGGATAAGAGAGTCTGTTACATGCGGTTGAAGGAATTGTCCGTAGAGCTCCGAGACAGGATTGTTTCTGCAGCATTGAAGATCCCCAAGAACACAGTGGCCTCCATCATTCTTAAATGGAAGAAGTTTGGAACCACTTAAACTCTTCCTAGAGCTGGCCGCCCGGCCAAACTGAGCAATCGGGGGAGAAGGGCCTTGGTCAGGGAGGTGACCAAGAACCCGATGGTCACTCTGACAGAGCTCCAGAATTTCTCTGTGGAGATCTCTGCAGCATTCCACCAATCAGGCCTTTATGGTAGAGTAGCCAGACGGAAGCCACTCCTCAGTAAAAGGCACATGACAGCCCGCTTGGAGTTTGCCAAAAGGCACCTAAAGGACTCTCAGACCATGAGAAACAAGATTCTCTGGAGGAAACCTGGCAGGGACTGGGAGACTAGTAAGGATCGAAGGAAAGATTAACGGCGCAATGTACAGAGAGATCCTCGATGAACCTGCTCCAGAGCGCTCAGGACCTCAGACTAGGGCGAAGGTTCACCTTCCAACAGGAAAACGACCCTAAGCACACAGCCAAGACAACGCAGGAGTGGCTTCGGGATAAGTCTCTGAATGTCCTTGAGTGGCCCAGCCAGAGCCCGGACTTGAACCCAATCAAACATCTCTGGAGAGATCTGAAAATAGCTGTGCAGCGACGCTCTTCATCCAACCTGACAAAGCTTAGGTGGATCTGCAGAGAAGAATGGGAGAGGGAAACTCCCCAAATACAGGTGTGCCAAGCTTGTAGCGTCATACCCAAGAAGAGTCGAGGCTGTAATCGCTGTCGAATGTGCGTCAACAAAGTACTGAGTAAAGGGTCTGAATACTTATGTAAATTTGATATTTCCGTATTTAAAATGTCTAAAAACCAGTTTTTGCTTTGTCATTATGGGGTATTGTGTGTAGATTGATGAGGATTATTATTATTATTTTAAATCCATTTTAGAATAAGGCTGTAACGTAACAAAAGGTAGAAAAGGTCAAGGGGTCTGAATACAATCCAAATGCCCTGTAAAAGTAGTGCACTATATAGGTGCCATATTGGATGCACACAAACACAAATCATAACAAAGTGATAAAATATCTACCTTGGTGTTTATCTTAGTACTGTAGTTTTGTGGGGCCAGTGTTTACTTCTTTCTACCGTCTGAAAGGGGTATACTGCAGATTGACCGGGTTTGAACCTGGGTCAACAGCATGCCCCAAGACTTGTGTTACCTCCCGGAGCTAATGCCTGGAGTGCAGGAGACCAGGGTTTGAACCCTAGTCCATTACATTTGCATCACTGTATTCACAGGAGGCTTACATGATATCAGTGACGCTGAATGACTGGAAGAGGAATTTAGAAATCCCCACTGGAGAAACGGTGGTGTTGCACAGCCGTAAGGTATGACTCCCTCTCCCATCCATACCTGACATGTATAGAAGCACAGTATATCTTACTGTCACTAGTACCTGCATGGTATGTCTGTAGAGATGCAAATATTGGACTGTAAAATAAAATGCAACAAAGAGAGTTTCTAGACCTTGCTCTGTCTCCGTTAGTTTATGACACAGCAACAGACGATCCCCTCAAAAGACTGGATAAGCTTACCCTCTGCCTCTGAGCAGAGTCGACCCAGGACCGTCAAAAGGGGGCTGGAGGGTATTTCAATAGAGATACCTGAAGGTAAGCCCGCAAATGTATAGGCCTCCATCTTCACAAAGGCCTTTGATTTCTACAGCTCTGTGAGGTTGTCACACCTGTACTGTACTTATATGTGTGTTTCATGCAAACAGTACTGGGAATTGGCCTGAACAATGGATATTACATTGTTTACAGAGAACTCAAGTTGTGGAGCATCCAATGCATTGGATCATGTGCACATTGGTAATTACATGATAACATATTACAATTCCTTACACAGTAGACATTATTTGTGTTGTTGGTCATTCAGGAGAGCCTTACCAAGTGGATCACCTTGTCTTCATGGTACATGGCATTGGACCGGCATGTGACATCCAGCTGCGTGGGGTCGTTCAATGTGGTGTGTATAACCTTTGACCCCTACCCCAAAACCTTACCTTTACCTGCACTCTGCTTTTTCCCAATTCCTGTTTTCCCATAGACATTCCCATAAATGGATTAATGCAAACTTGATAGGTTAGTCATGAGATGACCATATTACTTTAAACAAAGGCCTAGCAGTTAATTGTACCAACAGGCAAAAGCACATCACAAACATACTAAAGCGCTCTCTCCCGCCTGTAGTGAATGATTTCCGTGGTGCTTCACTCAGCCTGCTGAGCAGTCACTTCAAGCAGAGCCAAGATGGCGCCCACATGGGACGTGTGGAGTACCTGCCAGTCAACTGGCACCAGGTGCTGCATGGGGACGCCACTGGGGTGGACGAGTAAGGCCTTGGACTCTTCCATCATTTGGCTTTGAGTGCTGTTGTTGTGTTGTTTGTTGTTTAAATCATCTGTTTACTGGGTTTTGTGTTCTTGAACACAAAAGAATGGCACACACACGCACACGCACACACTCACATGCACACGCACACAACACACACACTATTACAAACCCTTTCTTACCTTCCTCCTACCAACAGGGATATCCAAAGGATCACCCTGCCCAGCATCAGTCGTCTGCGTCAGTTCAGCAACAGCACGGTGTTGGACCTGTTCTTCTACAACAGCCCCACCTACTGCCAGACCATCATAGACACCGTGGCCTCAGAGATCAACCGCCTCCACCACATCTTCCTTCAGCGCCACCCACAATTCACTGGGGCAGTGTCACTGACTGGACACAGTCTGGGTCAGTACCCCATAGACCTCTCCTTTATTTTTTTGGGACCTCTTATAACTTTTTCTTCTATCAGTCTTTTTAGACTTTATTAGGAAAAACTACACTCTTAGAAAAAAGCCTTTTTGGTTCCAGGTAGAACCCTTTTTGGTTCCAGGTATAACTCTTTTGGGTTCCATATAGAACCCTCTGTGTAAAGGGTTCTACCTGGAACCAAAAAGGGTTCTTCAAAGGGTTCTCATATGGGGAAAGCCGAAGAACCCTTTTAGGTTCCAGATAGCACCTTTTATTTCTAAGAGTGTAGTATTGATAGCCATTATAGTAATTAATATTCTTTATTTATATGACTTTTCTAGGTTCTCTGATCCTCTTTGACCTTCTGACAAATCAAGAAATACATAACACAGATGAAAAGATAGTAAGTAGTAGGCTACTGCCAAAATGTACAGCTCCATTTTGGTCAAGGCCACAACCAGCAGCATATTTATTCTGATTAGCTCAATGTTGATCCTATATTTCTTCTGCTTCAGAGTAGCGTCAGCAGCCCAAGTGAAGCAACCTCCATTAACTTTGAGAGCTTTGAGGAAACACTTAGGAACTTTGGATTGGGCGAGTTTTTCAAAATGCTTACAAAGGAGCAGATGGACTTAGAATCACTGGTAAGCATGTGTGTGTGTGTGTGTGTGTGTGCACGTGTGTGTGTGGGTCTGTGACTTTCTAACTGTGTGTGTGTCCTCTGTCTATTGACTAGGCTCTCTGTTCAGAGACGGACTTGAAGGACTTGGGAATACCCTTGGGGCCTCGCAAGAAGATCATGTGCTTGTTGAAGAGATGGAGAGAGGTATGATATCCTATCCACTTCCAAATGGATCTATTCATTGTCGAACATAAACATCATGTGAAATGTTCCCCTTGTGTTAAAAATCAAGCTTCTTTGATCTGACATTCCAGTCTATTGGATCTATTGTGCGTAGCTTCCTGTCCGTCTGTAGTCTCGACCCTGACAATATTCCATCCTAACTGTTTGTAAATGGGCTGCAAGCTGGAACCAGCAGTCTGATAAAGTTATATGTTTAGATTGTTATTTTATCTATCTATCTATATATCTATCTATCTATATATCTATCTATCTATCTATCTATCTATCTATCTATCTATCTATCTATCTATCTATCTATCTATCTACCTACCTACCTACCTACCTACCTACCTACCTACCTACCCACCCACCCACCCTTCGGCCCAGAAGCAGGAATCCATGACAGGAACGTCCCACCCAGTTCCTGGCGTTCCAGGTGTGTATTCCCAGGTCCAAGAACAACCAACGCCCCTCTCAGACGCCCCCTCCACCAGCCCAGTGGATTTCAAGAACTTTGACATTGGCATTGGCCAGGTAAACAAACAACAACAGTGACTGCATACTGTAACATTTACACATGCACATACAGTAGAGCGAGCGAGAGAGAGAGAGAGAGAGAGAGAGAGAGAGAGAGAGATGACATGACATGGTGCACATATCTGCACATATGTGAAGTAGTATGCAATTTTCGGGGACCACTTTTGGCTCGTGAGTGCTACTTTCAGAACTACTGGCTAAAGAGTATACAAAAGTAATAGAATGTCTTGATGCAGTTACAGTTTTTCTCAGTCGCTTTGGTGCATTTTTCACATCATCCCTAACATGTGCAAAATAATAAGTGCATTTCTCAGAACAATTTGTACAAACTGCAATATACAATAGATATGTTTCTAAAGCTAGTCAGTCACTAAAAATCCTTAGTACATCTCTCAAAAGTAAATATTCATGCCAATGATCATGTCAGTGTCATCAGAATGATAAGTCATTGAGTCATTGTTCACGAACAAGGTTGTCAAAATGTTTAGGCATGTTGTCAATGGAACTGTGTACTTTGACAGTATTACCTGATGTAAACTTAGGCTACAGTTTGGATGACAGTTACTGTATTGAAAATGCACAAGGCTGCACTTCTATGGCATATATCAATTTCAACAGTACTATTTACATATTACTGTATGTGGGTTATTGATTGAAAGAGACTGGACAACCCAAGGGGCACAAAGGAAAAAAAACTAAATTAGAAAGAAACACAGGAAACCACCCCTAAGGCACAACTTTGCCCACAGCACTGTTCTAGTGCTGTCTCTACACATCCAGACGTTCCTGTCTGTCAGCCCACATATTCTCATCCACATCACACCGGATATTTTCCCTTCCAATGCAACGTGGAAAGAATCTTTTGGAATGCCTTATCCATCCTCTGCAGGCGTCTACTGTGGTGTCCTCACATGCTGCATCCATTGCAGCCAGCAGGGTCATCTGTGTGTGTGGCTGACGATCGTACACCTTCCACCTCCATGCTGAAAAGAACTCCTCAATTGGGTTAAGGAATGGTGAATAAGGTGGGAGGAATTCTATGAGCATCCTCGGGTGGGTCACAAACCATTGCCTTATGATGTTTGATCGATGGAAACTCACATTATCACAAATGACCACATACTTTGGCAAATCCTCTCTAAACAGACCCCTCTCATCATCAGGGATGAGAGCCCTGTAGAGAGTCTCTAAAAAGTTGAGTAGATGCTGGGTGTTGTATGGCCCTAAAAGGGGGATATGGGTTAGGACACCATGCTCCGAAATAGCAGCACACATGGTGATATTTCCTCCCCGTTGGCCTGGCAAATCCACAGTAGCTCTGTGACCGATGATATTCCGACCCCGCCTTCTGCATTTGGTCAGGTTGAAGCCAGCCTCATCCACGTATACAAAGTTGTGAGAGGGTTCACTTGATTCCAACTCCATTATACGCTATATCCCAGAACACACAGTTTAATTTGTTTTGGTAAGGAAGAGTGACATAAAATGTACATATATTGCATGTTCCTTCCACAGCAATGGAAATGTGTGCAGTTTATGCTTACTGTACTATGTAACACTATAAAATGTTGCTGTAAAGTAGTTACATAGATATATGTTTTACCTGTACATACTGGTACCGTAGCTCCTTAACTCTGTCCTCATTCCTTTGGAATGGTACACGGTACAGCTGTTTCATACTCATCTGGTTTCTATGCAGCACCCTGTCGATGGTTGAGATGCTAACCGTATGGATGTTTTCAAAGACATCGTTGTCTTCTATAATGGTCCTTTGTATTTCCCTGAGTCTCATGGCATTGTTTGCTCGGACCATGGTGCAAATAGCCTCCTCCTGTTGAGGTGTGAAAAGGCGTCCTCTGCCACCGGTTTGAGGTAATCTTGCAGTCCTATGTGTGGAAAAATGCAGTGATGCATCGCACACTTTCACATAGACAAAAACTATGCGAACACACATTTTACTGTAAAACATACAGGTGGGTGCATGTAAGGTGCAGTATGTATCTGTATAGAGTATATTTCTGTATGCTGTGAAATACAAGTGGACTACTGTAATATGAAGCATTGTAGGAAGTATACAGTATACTGCTTATATACAGTAACAGTGCACTGTACATTGGTGGACATACCTGTTCTCTCTTCGAAACGTTTGTACTATTGAGGACACGGTTGATCTCCCAATATTCGGCTGCACCCTTCGACCCGCCTCAGCCATTGTAAGGCCATGATTGACAACATGGTCTACAATAGTGGCCCTTATGTCATCAGATATGCGCCTATGTCCTCTTCTGCCTCTTCCTCTGTTTTGCCTTCCACCACGCATCCTTGCTCCTCTTCTTCCTCCTCTTGGCTGTTGACCCTGTTCGTTTCCTGGTCCATCCATTATTGGAAAATTGCAACTCTGTGTTGTGGTCTGTCTATATATGCTTGCCAATTGATTCTTCATGAGATGCACCTTTGAGCAATTTAGACAACTGGTTGATTGTTGGTTGAACTAACACTTTACATTCCTTCATGAGTGAGGGTTAATTTCACCTGCACGATTCAGCAATTTACGTTTTTGTACAAAAGGTCTAATAGAAATGTGTAAAACTATGCTTGACAGTTTATGACAAATAGTTCAACAATTTTGCATGTAATGGCTTATGCAAGGAACTAATGCCTAGATGTTTTGAGGGGTAAGACTATTCAACAGAGACCCATCTACTATATTTTGATCAACATGACATGAGCAATTGAAAATGTGGAAAAAAGCTGACACTTGTACATTATCAATTGCAATATGTACAAAAGCAATTGCAATTTGTTCAAAGGAATAAGAAATTGCTTTAATGATGTGCACAAGTGACTAGATGATTTGGAATTTGTACAAGTAGTATCAAGAATTGCACTTTTGATCTAAGAAATGCACCAAAGCGACTGAGAAAAACTGTAACATGAGGCCCAACAAATACAAATGAAAATCTAAATGAATTAAATGTTTAATTTCATTTTAAAATGTTGATACATTTTGATAGCCATGCTTAGCTACAGAAAGTGAAGAAATTCAGAATTTACACATGGGGCATACTGAATTAGTATGAATCATTAACCCCTTCCCTTCCTGCCCAGGTGTCCATTGTGTACCCTCAGCTGGCCTTCAAGCCGCAGGCCTTCTTTGCCTTGGGGTCTCCTATAGGGATGTTCCTGACGGTGCGCGGCCTGAAGAGGATCGACCCCAAATACAGCCTCCCCACCTGCAAGAGCTTCTACAACATCTACCATCCAGTATGTTTATGGATCATGTGTTAGTGAATGCTTAGTGTAGCTAAAGTCAATCAAAGTCATGAATATTCATAAGGACCTGACAATGTGTTCTTCCTCCATGCAGTATGACCCGGTGGCCTTCAGGATTGAGCCCATGGTGGTGTCTCCAGGGGTGGACCTGCCCCCAATGCTGATCCCACATCACAAGGGCAGGAAGAGGATGCATCTCGGTGAGACCTGAGGCGTGAAGCTTTGATCTGGACATTACAGAAACGTTTCAAGATATGGTAGCCCCATATGTCATGAGCTTTTTGTTAAGACCCTAAGGGAGCATTACTAAAGCTCTGACCTGCCTGATAATGTAAAAACACTGGCCTACATCGTTGCTATCCAGTGAGCGTGTGGAAGCTTTCATCCACCTTGTGTTCCCATGCAGTGACCCTGTATTGACGTTGTGTCCCCCAGAGCTGAAAGACAGCTTGACGCGAGTCAGCTCAGATCTGCTGCTCTCCATCAGTACTCTCCGTGGTGTGTGGCAGACCCTCACCACGCTACCTGTTAACACACTGCCCCCAGTGGCCAGGGTAGGAACCACAGCTGCACTGCCACCTCAGGAGTCAGAAGGTGAGAGACTGGTGTCATTTATGTATTACTTTCATTCTCTCATTCATTTATTCACTCATTTATTAGGAACCATGTGCAATGTTTTTACATACATGCATTACTTTATTCTTCATATTCTCAAAAACAAATTCCACTGTTGTTCTCTAGTAATTACAGCGTTACTACACAGGTAGGCCTTTAAAAGCAACTTAATGTAATATGATGATGTTTCGGTGTAATTTGTCCTTTGTGTGACATGTTTTTTGTATGTACTATGAGTATTTTTATCATGTTACCCCTGCCTGCAACCAAATGTCCCTCGGGAGGCAATAAAGTTTGAACTGTGTTAGAGGAATGTTCCATCAATACTGTTTTCCAGGTAGTAGGGCCTAAAACTGTACAGTCTTACCTACAGAGATGAAGAATATCAGTTTTGGAATGTTGAATGGTGGACGTCGGTTTGATTACGTCCTTCAAGAGAAACCCCTAGAGAGCTTCAACGAATATCTGTTTGCTATTCAGAGCCATCTGTGCTACTGGTAAGAACAACTGAGCTAGGGTTGGCTCTGACTCATGCTGTATTGAAATAGCTTACATGTTTTCTGCAGTATTTCGTGTTTTCTTGTGTGTTTCAGGGATTCTGAGGATACTGTGTTGCTGCTTTTGAGAGAAATCTACGAGGGGAAGGGAATCCTTCTCTAGCATCTCCAGATGTCAATGTAAAGGATGGATCTTTTGAGTTGTGTATCATGCATCTACTAGAGAAGACTCTGGATGCATCACATTTTTATGGTTTCATTTTTATTTATTTTTCTGTAAAGTGTATTGAGGCTTCTGGTAAATGCACTTTAAATAAATTGTGATTTTAATTTGAATTGTGATTTGATCTGGAGATTACTAATGTACATAAACTTATTTTTGGTCTATACCCTAATGCACTGTTTGCGTAAGAATGCATTTTAAATTTACTATATGATTATGGGCTCCTTCTAATTTGTTTACAAATATGGAAACTATGACCAACTTTTCATTTAAGCTGCCATTCTGCTCATTCACACTTTTTGCTCGACCATGTCCTTGTTGCAATTGAGCACTTACAGTATTAGGTGTGTGTGTACTTTTAGTAAATTATGAACAACAGACATAAACCCTGCAAGGATTTGACTGTCTGCTGCAACCAATAGGCTTATCTAATGGCTAATGTAGACTCCATGACACACTGTTGCCTATCTAGCCTTGCACTCCAAAGAGAGGTAACCACACGTGTTCCTATCTGTAACATTCATGTCTTGTCGTATATTAACTGACTGTGTCTTTAAGTCACATTCCTGGCATATAGTCCCCAGAAAGTTAATTTCCCATTTATCCGCGTCACCCACCGCGTGGAATATACGCCACAGGACAGTTCTCTTCTTTGAATAATTCGCGTTGGGACATTGGACTGCCCATCATATCGTGCTTTGCAAGGAACGTTTTCAGTGTGAAGAAAATAACGTCATAACATCATCTTTGACTTCTCTTGAAAGTTGGATAGCGGATTTATCCGGAAAGTTCACTGGAGAGGTAGGACATTAATCGCCAGCTCTGCGTGGACTGTTGTTGCCTGTAAAAATGTAAAGCGCTATAGTGTTAGATGGATAGTGATACCGTTATGTTATGTATCGTGATAGCATCTACTAAAATTTAACATCAGATAACCAATTTGGAATATTAATTGTATTGCATTTTGAAGTAGAATTTTGCTTAAAAAAGTTATTGAACTCACTTTGGCACAAGATCATGGGCGACATGACTACTTACATTTTAGTCATTCAGCAGACGTTCTTATCCAGAGCGATTTACAGTTAGTGAGTGCATACATTTTCATACTGGCCCCCCGTGGGAAACGAACCCACAACCCTGGCGTTGCAAGCGCCATGCTCTACCAACTGAGCTACAGGGGGCTACTTGCATGTTAAAAGTCACACAGCGTATATGTGCAGACACCAAAGACTAGGCTATCGTCACAATATCTACTTATAGAGTAACGTTCCATGAGAGCAATTACTTTTTAAAACATTATTTGAAACCATAGTCTCTTCTGTTCACCAAGTTTCCTATGAATCAAACATGGACTAACACAGGCCCTATAGTTTCTTGTTTATGATAGATCGTTTGTTTTATTGAAGGTCGGCTATTATGACCATGTAAAGTCAGTTAGCATAAGATCACACCAGTAGCCTAGTCATGACTGTGCATCTGTTGTGTCATGATTATAACCGTTTTATGTAGCCCTTATGACATAGGTTCAAGTAAAGTGCAACCACATAGGGGAATCAATGGAGCAAATGCATCCCATGACATTTTCACATGCAAATATATTTTTATTTCTATAATATATAGGTTATCGGTAGTCCCTGAGGAATGAGATTCAATGAGAGCAAAATGTGTCTTCTACTGAATCATACTTCTTTTTGTAGCCTGTCCATTCTGCTTGAATCAAATGTAATTCCTCATTTCCCAAAACTCTCCATTAACTGTCTAGACAGGGGGGTTCTGGCAAGGGAGGATTACTATTAAAGCCTTCATTCTTCTCATGACTTTCACTCTTACAGTGTGAGAGTGTGGCAATGTTATAAGCTCTTTAACACTGGAAACAACTAGCTGAGCTGACACCACAGCCGGTGTCCTTAATCGTGTGTGAGCACTGCTAGTTTGTACATTTTCATGCCTGTGAGCCTGTTGTTTTCGGCTTGGTTTTTCTAACACATGTTTGTATTGTGTTTATGTAAGTCTTATTCAACCACGGGATAATTAATCCCTGCTCTAATTAAACACACTTAAAATGGCTTCCTTTATTTGGATGAAAAAGGAAAGTTGTGAAATGAAAAAGTCTGAACCTGCTTTTTGTGGGGACAGACCGTTATTTACGTAACACCATTAGTTAATGTTTGAGTGCAACGGCTTGGGTTTCTTCAGGGCAGGTTTGATTGGATTCGAGGCTAACACAGCCAGGCTGCACTGCTTAACCCTCCTAGTAAAGAAAACCCATCTGACTGAAAGGTGACTTCATATAAGGTGAGGTAGCTTGAGATTCTTTGAAGTAGGAGGCCTAATAAGAGGACTGGAGGATAGTCTTCGGTTCTAAACCTGGGTTTTGGTCAAGGATTTCACTTTCGTGTATACACATACACACACACACACACGCTCGCACCACACAACAGTGCATTTGCCTTTCTCACAATATGATTCTCACATTGATTGATGAATCAATCGATTTATTGTGGTTATTGTTCATCAACAGGAAATTCTTTCCACAGATCTTCCACATGTTGACCAATGACCAACGTTCCAGTTGCCAACACAAGGCAAGGCTCAACCGTACACGCGCAGCATTATACATAAGGCAATGTAAAGTCTGTCTGAAGTGAACAGGGTGCTACTCATGGCTTACAATACAGGGCCTATACATCCACATGCACGCGCACACACAGTCACACACACAGTCACACACACAGACACGCACACTCCTCTTTCACTGCACACAAAAACAGCGTCAATCCCAGAAAGAGCACAGCTCAGACGGAGGGTCAAATAATGATAACCAGCATGCTGGAACATTCATTTCCTTCCATGTGTTTTCTTCCAGTTACATTATGACTGAATGAATACGAGTGAAGAACTCTTATAAACTCTCCGTTTTGGCTTACTGTTTGCCTCGAACTTGCATTCACATTGCATCATGTGCTGTGGTGTTTTTGGCATTTCTGGAAGGAAGATGAGGTCACTCTCAGACACAGGCAGAGGCTGTGGCTCAGCTGAACAGGAAGTGGGGGTTAACAGGGCGGGAGCAGCCAACATATGGCTGTCTGAAAAAGTTACTAAACGTCAAAGCTTTTCTTCCTCCGTCATTTTCTTTCTGAATTCCACTCAAAGCTCATTGAAGGAGGTCAGAGGGAGGGATCCTCGGATCCTCTCCTCCGATGGGCTTTGAGAGGAATTGAGGAAACATGGACGGAGGAAGTAAGGATTTGATGGCGCATAATATTTTTAGGCACAGCCCCAGTCCGGTCTTTCACATATGGAAGGGAAGCAAGCTGCAGTTTCTGGGAATCAAAATAAATTCCCACAATGTTCCCATTTTAGAGAACTGGAATGCAGGAGTTCTCTTGGGTGGTGAAGGCATCCATGGCTGCTAGCACAAAAGTTCTGAATTGAAATCAATTGAATTCAATCCATTTATATTGAACTCATGAGGCCTACCGTTTTGAGTAACACTAGGGGGAAAACAATGGAATATGTGATCAGTATTAGAAAATAATCATTGTAATATGTGAGCAGGCCGTATTAGAAAAGGGAGTTACAGGGAGAGATTCCCAGACGCTCCATGACCGTGCCATTTATAGTCTTGTGATTGTGGAAGGGACTTCGAGTTTGTTGTTTTTAAGTGTTTCCCCTAGCAGTTGATGTGGGTGAGTTATCATTTGTTGAGTAGGAAGTGATAGGGAGATGTTGAATCAACACTGTGCTGTTTCACACCCACGCATTGCTTGGTCCCCTGCCTCTCAATGGAAACCCAACGCTGAGTAAGACTGCACTGTCACTGCTGCTGGCTAGGATGTACTGTAGGCCTACCCCAGATGTGTCTGGTCTGTATGTGAGGTTGCCTAGTAACCTCCCCATCATAACACCTTGAAACATGTACGGAATGGATTTGGATCACTTTAACATGATGTCACATTAGACCCATATTAGTGGTCATTATTAGTTCCATCGTGGCAATTAGGCCGCCTGTATGAGTAGGGGAGTCAACATCCCTAAAAGCAAGTACACTATAAAGTGTAAAAAGTTCTGTAGTTATGATGTCGAAGATCTTTATGACAAACCTTGGGAAATCATGTCATGCCTGTAAGAACTACCAATAATACCATTTATCTTAGTCTACCACTAGATGTCAGGCTGTTCATACCTAGTCTTTGCTGCCATTTCTTGCCAACCTGTTTAATGCCACTATTTGTAATAACATACAGTCCCAACGTGATTACAGTAAAATAACAATTCACTAAATCGGTTCTCAAAAAGATGGATGGATAAAACGTTTAAGCAAATTAATTTCAAGCAGTGTTAGATTTGATGTTCTTAAACATGTAACTCAATGTGAACATGGTCTATGAAGATCAATGATCCTCTTTGAAAATAATTCTAATTGTTCTGTGAAAGCAAGGTGGTGAGGTGACAATGCCATGGCGTCGGCTATCAGTATTGTGAACACGGACAAATAGGCCTCCTACCATGATTGGTCAATGAAGATGCATTCTTCTTCTTACTGTAACTTCTATATTACATTTTAGCAGACGCTCTTATCCAGAGCGACTTACAGGAGCAATTAGGGTTAAGTGCCTTGCTCAAGGGCACATCGACAGATTTTTCACCTAGTCGGCTCGGTGATTAGAACCAGCGACCTTTCGGTTACTGGCACAACGCTCTTAACCACTAAGCTACCTGCCACCCACATGTAGTGTCTATAGGAAACATGGCTAGGTATGTTTGTAGCAGACAGTTTCTACCTTTAGTGGCTAGCTATGCATCTCTAGTATGTAATCTGTACAGTAGACATGGCTAGGTGTGTGTGTGTGTGTGTGTGAAAGAGAGGTGTCTGGTATTTATGACTACAATGTGACAGTGACCTCACTTTGACCTTTGTTATTATGCACAGGTCA